TGATGTAGAATATTGTAGTTAAGCTCTCAAAGAATTATCTGTGTGTTAGTAACTAATTTTGCATTTTGATATTCTCTGTGTTGCATTTGCTTCTTTAATCCTTTTGGCTACATTTGACGACTTAGACTTGTCATGCACTTGTTTTGCCAATTACATTAAACAATTAAATTAAATTAATTACATTAAGTTATGGATAATGAATCTTAATCATCATTCAGACTAGGGCAAAATTAAACATGTAAATTCTTGTTCATGGCAAAAGTGATTGGTATCAGTTATAAGAGCAAGTTTCTTCCAGTACTTAAGTGAACGTCAACAGAAGAATTTTTTCAAATAAATCCGTACCTTAAGGTTTAATTAACTCCTATTGCATAGATTTCATTCTAGAAGCTCCCCAGAGTTAAATTAAAGAACTTCAAAAGAATATTAATTTGTTTTTGTAATTTTTAAACCTGTATGTGTAAATTAATGTTAGTTTGTGTGTTTCATATAAAATACTGACGGTGTTTACACATTTTTGTAACGATTTTTGAAAGATTGATATACAAACAAACCTTGGAATTTTATTTTCTAATATGTTCAGTCTGATAGCCCTTTTGTCGAACTATTAAATTACATCTTGATTTTCAAGATAAAAATCCTTTTCTTAGAACATCCAGGTTGATTTTATTCCACTCCTCCTTCACAATCTTCCAGAGTCCATCCAGTGTTTTCGGATGCCGCTTATAAACAGCTTGTTTTTTTTAAAGTCTAGATGCACAGTAGTACAAAGGGGACACATCAGGGGACTTGGGTGTGACGCATTTAAAAGAAATAGCTTCAATTCTGGTTTCATTTCTCATTTTTTCCAAAAAATAGAGCAGTAGATTTAGGGGTGTGGCTTGGAGCCTTATTCTAATGGCACTTAAGACGGTGAAGATTGTTTGGATGAAGTGATGGGATTTTGTCTTTAATCCATTAACCGCCAAAATTACAAGGAATGATTCTTTTCTCATGAAAATAATAACAAATATTAAATTAAGCATTTATAAGATAAATTTACATTGGAAATAAAAAAATGCTCTTGCCTGTGAAAAAAAGGGAGTGTTACGTTCGCGCAACGTCAACGGAATAAGACTACGGATGTTTAGTGAGTAGGATTGTACTCGTGCGATATTTCCTTTGAGTGGAGTACTGGATTACTTTTGAGTTATATAGCGTTTTATAAATCTACAAATCACTTTGCTTGTAATTAATTTAATATTAAAATATACATTATATTTCTTTTACAAATACAGATAATTTCAATTGAAAGATTCAAATATGAAAAACTTCACTACAGTTATCATGTAAAGCTACATTACATTCTTTGCATCTATAAATAGTCTGGCTATGGCACTCTTTATAACGAAGTCTTTTGTTATCATCGGACTTTACGATAAAATCTACCAACTCCATGTAATGGTTTTTTAATGCTAAATTTATTAGGTCTTTCTGTTGCTGATCTATTTCTGGCTAATTCTACACTATCAATAGGAGTTTGCAAAAGGAATAATGCAGTCTCGTGTCTGAAATCTAAAAGAGACTTTTTATTTCCAGTCTTTTTATTATTACTTTATTATTTTATTCCAGAAAGTTGTGATATTTTCCATGCATTTATCAAGGCTATATCAATGTAATTAGTAAATATTCGCCACCAACATTTTTTGCCACAAACTCTTATTCTGTAATTGGGTACTAAATTATCACATAAATCGACTCTGTTTGCCTCAATAAGGAATCATTTGCTCGTCAATACTCAGATCATGGGAAAATATACCAAATTGTTGGAATTTCTTATTTAGTAAGTTTAAATACGATCTCACAATATATAAGTTATCGGTATTGTCAATTTGACTATTGTGAGCTAAATGTAAATTCTGTTTCATATTTCTGTTCTGCAAACATGACATCGATTCTTGTACAATAAATAGGAAGAGAAATGTCCTTATCAAGAGACCAATACATTTCTTCTTGAGGTAAAGAATAATAATATCCCATAAGCAATAATATTCCAATAAAACTTCTCAGGCTTTAGATGCAATAAATTCTGGCGATTTTCTTTTTTTTTTTTTTTTTTTTTTTTTTTGTTGAGTGTATATATTTGTCTGTTCAACGAGAAGAGAGTAAATGTCTGAACTAAAAAGAAAATTGATAATCTCTCCACTAGTTTTACCTTGTATTTTGTCTTTTATAGTTTCTCTTCTATCTCTTTCTTCAATTTCTTCCGGAGATATGACTGATGGTTCCTTTTTTATACATTTCAAATTTTCAGTTTTCTGTTTTTTAAATTTTTTCGTATGACTACCACTGCTTTTAGAAGGCTGAAACTTACTTCTTACGTGAATTTCAACTTCCCCAGCAGTATCATTTGGTAAAATATCATTATCATTATTTAAAACATTGGTCATTCCCTTCTTCATCACTAGCTTCTGCAATTTCTGGAGGAACAACAACAATATCAGTTTCATTCTGGTCATTATTAACATTATTATTATCTATTTCTTCATCAAAATATCTTTGAAAGGCTTCTTCTAATGTAAGATACCTCGTTGTAGGCATTTTTAAAGCAGCCAGAACATCGAAAGGGATGAGTAGAAAAGAGATTACCCGTTTCCTGCTGACATTGCATCAGCACAACACCTGTTTTCCTTTCCTTCCCAACACAAATATAAACATCTGATTGATGTAATGTTCTGATAAACGGTGACTTCGACTGAAAATAGTTCATGTATAAAGATGGCGATTTTTTCCTTAAATATTTTCGGCAGATATACCCGGTCAAAATTTTTGCTTAAATTTTGCTTAAAGTATGAGATTAATTATTATAAACAAAATGATTGTTGAAGGCAAATATTTTTTTACAGAAATAATCTTCATAATATTCCCCACCCAAAATCATCTGTTGGTATAAAATATCTTCGGTAGTTATATTTATATATATGCATTTATTTTTGACCGTTGCGACAACGCAACACCAGTGGCTAATGGGTTAACAATAGATGTTAAAACATATTTCTGAGAGTAATATGAATTAATTTTGACCTTACATTTTTTCTACTTTCCTCATATTAATTTTTCTGTTATAAGAGAATCTAGTAATAACCATAAAACCTTTAGAAAAACTTTCCTTGTTTTCTCTGAACCAACATATCAAGTCTTTTTCTCTCTCTTTTTTTTTTTTCATAGTAAATTGATCTTTTTCTATTGGAATCAGATAAGTATATTCAAGCCTCATCAATTGTAATGATATATTTTCATTTTTTACCTGCCATATAATTTTCATACAGCAATCTGCACATAGTCTTACACTGAGAAACATTGTTTCGGCATTAGGCGATGAACATCAGGATTTTTTGTTTTGATTAGCTTTAAATCAGATTTTAGAATTTTGTTCACAGTTCCTGTAGTGATATTTAAAGATTTTTCAATAGTTCTTTGGTGGCCTGTATTTTCCTTTAAAGTATGAGATGCAACTTTAGATTTAATAAGGGTTGTACATACCTTTGTTTGGGTATGCATTTTTTGCCGTTTTTCCTGGCAGATGTAAACTTTGACGTTTCTTTCCTTTCATGGTAATTACATAATTTATTTTACATGTATTTAATAACTGAATAAGAGTATTTCTCTTTGGACAGTGCAGAAATATAGCCTTTGATTAATTTTTTATTTTTCAATGACTTTTCAAGGAAAAGGATATTTTTAATGCTGCAAATGGTAATTAAACCTTATTCCAATTTGATGTCAGTCACGTTTGTATTTTTAAATTAAGATATAAATTCATGGAGAAAATCAAAATAATTACAAAATTGTGGGAACGCCCTCTGTATGTCAGTTTGTGTGTTTCGTATAAATTTCTTGATTTGTATCAATTTTTTGTAGTGATTTTATAGACTTTTATGGTAAATAAAAGCAACTTTGAAATACTACGTTTCATCTTTTATTCCATACTTCATCTCAGTTTGAATTTTAAAAAAATAATGTTAACTTGGTTTCTATTCATTAAATCCGTCTGATATTGATATCTCTGTTTGTTATATGACACAATCTTTTGGAATCAGATAAAATCAATATTATTTTTTAAATATATTCTGTATAGAAAGCCAAGTAATTTTTATGATATGATATAAAACCACAACTGTCATTATGACATTAAAATTGTTGTATTTAATTTGCTGTTCTTTTTTTGTGTCATTAATATTGAAAGATTAATTACCAATAGTTAAGAGAAAGTTTGTGCCAATAGTTAAGTTTGTGCTTGCACACACATATATGCACATACACATATGCATGCATACATATGTATATTTTTTAATCCTATCCCTATAAAAGAAAAGTACCTTTTACTTTTTGAGAAGCACTTTATTAACTTGAACAGAGTGTAATGGGCTTAATTTGTACAATCGCTTTTGATCATATTTGTTTTTTTTACATCATTATGATAATAAGGTTCATGAAACAGAGATGAGTGATAGTGTGTTGGCAGGACAGCAAGCAAAAGCAGGAATGCAATTCATCTATTGGTGCAGAAAAATATAGTTTTAGTTCAGATTTTTTGTCATTGTCTAATAGTAAGTTTTAATTTCTAAAACTGAAATCATTACTGGCTCAAGTGTTATCTGCATCATGAGCGGTAAGCAGTAATCATATGATATTGATAAATTTCAAATGATGCAGTTGATGTTTCATTTTAATTAATTATTGTTTTTGCATTGTAAGGAAAATAAACCAAATTAAAGAAAATTAAACAAATTAAAACAAAGAGTTAAAAAGGCTGTTGCAAATTAAAGTCATTATTTTATCTAACATATACATATGTGTAAGAATTTTACACTATTCAATTACGTCTATAATTTTTTTCATGTGTGTTTGTGTGTGTGTGTACGTAAAATCGCAGAACTACATAATTTTTTCCCTCTATTTATTATCAATTACTTTAACCAGTTTTATATTTAATTATTTATCCTTAATTTATATGTTAGTTTTTGGACATATTCCATTTCTTCAGGAATATTCTGCAGAAGTTGATTCTGTTATAGCTGATTGGAGAGAATATAAAATGGCTGTACCTACATACGGTGCAATATTATTAGATGAGACTATGAAAAATGTAAGTGCAATTTATTTATATTTCTATTTAAGATTGTATGCTAAGTATGGTGGATCATTATTATAATTTTTATTTTGCTCTCTTTCTGTAACTGAATATAACAATCAAAGGCATTACTGCCATATACTAGTTATATCTTATCAGTATATAATGGTTATCGTATTTGATGGCATATAAGACGCACTGGCATATAAGACACACCCTTATTTAGAAGGCCACACACATTTAGATGTAGAAAAAGTTATGTGTGTCTAGACCTTTATCTGGGCTAAAAATAGCATTCAGTATTGAAAGTTAACCTGTGTCCTTCACGTATAAGACGCAGGTAACTTTTTTGAGACTAAATTTAGGGAAAAAAGTGCGTCTTATATGCCGTCAAATACGGTATGTTGCATTTCATGGAATCAGGACTGAAAGAAATTTTCATTCAGAGTAATACTTCCTGCTATAACAATGGTTATTATAAAAGAACTTTTGATATTTTTTACACTGTGTTTCTGAAAATCCATATTGAAATAACCCAATGTTGTGAAAACAGTCAAGCAATGAAATATATACAAACACATGCACACACGAAAATAAAAAAAGGAGGGGGGGGGAATAAAGAGCAAAAATTTGAGATTGCTATTTTGAATACTCCTTTCACAACCACTGCAGTATATGTTAGACTAGACAAATGCAGTAAATTTAAAAAAGGGGGATTCAACAGTCGTATTTAAAAATTGGATTCTTTTTTCAGAATAATGTCAACATAATATTAGAAATGTGATATTAAAATGGCCATTAATAAATATTAAATCTGTATGCAGTTTACAATTTTTGACATATTTTCATAAGGCAATAGTTTTTTTTTTTTTTTTTTAAATACTTTTAGGCCATGCAGGTCAAGCACATCAGCTAATAATGTGCCTCATCAGTAGGCAGTTCAATAAGATCACTAAATACTAGAAATTCGACCAGGGTTCAACCTGAGGCAAATGGGCTTGCTGCATGGTTCGGTTTTATAGTTTTCTGAATGTGTAACATGAATACAAACCAGTTTTACTTAGACAGTCTTCCATGAAGGCCTCACTGTTGTTACGGTGATAACTTTTGTTTGCTTTGCCATATTTAAATGATGTAAATAATATTACTCAGTTAATAACGTTGATACTGTTCTGTTATTGGGACTGGATTCAGAATGTATGAATGTATGCACATCTGTATGTATGTACATATATGTGATATGTACACACACATACATTAGTGGTTACATATATACATGCATACATGAACACATCCATCCATACAGACATGTATGCATATGTACATTTCTGGATCCGGTCTTGATAATAGAACAATACCATAACTTTTAAATGTAATGATTGAAAAATTGAAATGATTTGATGTTTGCAAAATGTGTCATTATTCAAAGACATCTCCTTATACTGCAGTATGTATTTTCCAATGTTCTGGAATTTCTTCTATCTCATCTTCAAAAAAGGTATTTGAAGCCTGGGTGCACATAGACTCTCCATCTCAAGCAATTTTAGTGATAGAATTGTTATCCTGTATATAATGGCCTTTTAAGTCGTTTCAGCTTTACAAATAGGAATTTTTTGCAACAATATTATGAACATTATCAACTTTGACATTCAGATGTTAAGCAGTTTCCTACACTGTAATTATGTCTCTTGCTGTAAATGTTCTTTTTTATTGCTTCAGTGCTTCTTGCATAGAAATCTTTTCTCGTTTTCAATAGGTACTTTCTTGCTTTGAAAAGCTTTATGCTAAGAAAGAGGTCAATTCATGATAAATGCTGTTCACCTGATTTTGCAAAAGCCAGTGAAAATATATGAATATCTGCAGAAAATTTAATAAAAAAATCTGAAAGCTTTCAGAAGCTATGTGATGCCAAAACAGGTGTGTTTTTCCCTACATTTACAGACACATACACATTGCGAGACCATTTGGGCTAACGCCACATTGGGGTAAAAATATTAAAAAACAGGATATATTTAGAATTTCCAAGAGATGATCTTGCACACTGGAGATAAAAATGTTTTACCCCCTACAGTGTTGCCACTGCTCGCTTTGAAATTGTTGATTTTTTTAATCAAAAATTTCACAAAGTGTTGAAACAGACTTTCCAGGTACCCATGTTCAGGTGGAGGTCTATGTTATTCAGAATTTGATGACTCTAGGTACCATTGTTTTTTCACCTTGCGAGAAATGTATATACATTCATGTGGATTCTTTAGTTTCTTTAAATGTAATACAGGGCAATAATATTTAGTGGCAACAATTTGAAAAGTGATTTGGACATTGAAAGTGAATTGGTGCAAATGTTGTTTTGAGACTAATAGCCCTTTTGGGCTAATAATTCTTTATTCTAGAAACAAGTTTTTTTTTTCCTTTCTTACTCATTGCTTCTGCAAGTGGCAGGCATGAACTTATTACTAGATGTGAACCCAAATGACAGGTAAGTATAGTTGGAATATCTGAGACCACTTGCTATTTCATATGAATTATCAAGCAAAATATCCAGCAACCTGTGTCATATACATAGGCTTTTTTGAAAGATGTTTAGAAAAAATTGCAGATAATTGCAATAATGAAACCACTTGTCAGGACTTGTATGTCTTTTTATTTGCTTTGGAGACATGATGCGTTCTGAATAGGAACAGGGAGCTTACTCAAGTTATGTTCATATATGTGTGGAATAGACAACACCAGCAGGAAGTGTTGACTTTACACTTTATTCCCTATAAGATCACCGATGCTCCCGCACTTCGGGATACGGAGACCAACCACTTGTGGTCTGAACGTAAAAATATAAAACTACTAACTAAAATTCTAAAATAAGAGCTAACTTTGAAATTAGTTTACAAGTGCCTAACACTAAGACTTGGCCTTTTAAAAGATTACGTATGTAGTACCCAAACTGCCAAAACTACAATTCACTTTAAATATCAAGAGAATTAAACCTCTTGCCTTAAAGGCAAGCAGCAACTGATTGAAAACTCATGTGTAATGCAGTGGCAAGGTGGCTCACTTCCTCCCTCTCTCTCTCTAACTCTTAAGTTGTGGCAAAAAGCCACAACTTAAATACTTGGGCGTTAGCAAGTGCAATTTGCATAAACAAGTCAACACATTTAATTCTGGCTGGAAGTGGAAAATAAGAAAAGATAGTAAAGTTTTAAAATAAAATAAATGTTAGTAAAACTTTAGATCCTTACACACTTAATAGGAAAACTATTATGTTGTAATGAATTGAAGTTCCATTTTCACCAGTCTTTCACTTTTCATTTTACTTACTGTTAAATGAAATTATTAAAAAAAAGAAAAGCATTTTTCTGTTTAGTATAATGTATCAAAGGAAAATATTTTTATTTAATTTAATTTTAGTACTTTCTGATTATCTGCACCTCCGTGAAAAAACACTTAAATTATTGGCCACTTTATAACTTGGGAAAAATCATTTGCTTAGCTATTTTCTTGACTCATAAATACTGATCTCTTCATAAATAGTAATGAAAAGCTTTTTCTAAGAAACATGGAATTTTATTGAAGGAGGGCCACAAAAATCACTGAAATAATAGTTAACTGTAAAATGGGTAAATCTACGTATACTCAAACAGATGTGCAGAATATGCACATGTGTGATGACTGTTGTCACATGTATACTAAAAAATATGCAGAAAAACATGGCAGTTCAACATAAATTTTAAATTGGGAGTGTAGATAATCAGAAAGTTTCTCAATTCATGAATGTTTAAATGATTAACCTAAAATTTATCTGTGTGAAAATTATTTTTATTGCATATAAAAAAAGTATTTAACTCGAATAATCTGATTATTAGTACAGTATAAAGTCTAAGATCAGGAATAATCAAGATTTTGGAGGTTCAGTAATCTTTGGATTTTAAATCATCAGTTTAAATGTAGTAAGATGACACATAGAAACTACAAAACTAATAAATTGGTTTTTTTTGAATTAATGAAGTATTTATGAACTTAGGAAGCAAAAATTTACAAAAGCTCAATGTTAAAATTTATTTTGTTTAATTAAACATATTCTTCAATGTAAGTAGCTTAAGCTATTTCGTTTTCGTATTTATACTTTCTCTTATTTTATAGAGACTTTTATTTCTTCAGTTACTTATATTCTGGAATTTCTACAGTTATTAGCCCAAATGGATGCTAGCCAAGAAGGGCTGTTAGTCTCAAAATGGCATTTTGCATCAAATCACCTTTAAATGTCTGAATAACTTTTCAAATTTTTGCTACCAAATATTATTGCCCTGTATTATGTTTAAAGAAACTAAATAATGAAGAAATTACCTGAATGTATGTATGTTTCTTGCACTGTTAGAAAATAACCATAGTAGAGTCATAAAATTTCGAATAACATAGTCATCCACTTGAACATGGGCATCTAGAATCCTGAATTTGGAGTTTGTTTTTGTCTATTTCATATTTTATAAAACTTTAATGAAATTTTGATTAGAAAGCTCAACAGTTTCAGAGCAAACAATGGCAACACTGTAAGGAATAAAATATTTTCATCTCCAGCCCTTGAGAATATCAGAAATTCTAAAGATATGTTGTTTTTAAATATTTTTAGTGGCATTAGCCCAAATGCTCTTGAAGCATGTATATGTTTGTAAATGAAAAAGATGCCCATTTGGATGTAATATAAATATCTGAAAGCTTTCAGTTATATGTATAATATATATATATTATTCTGTTAAAAAAATTTCTAAGTCTTGAACTTGCTGTATCAAGAATTCCCACTAAATACTCAATTCAGATCTTTCCATTCTCAATGTTGTTCATTTTAATTGCTTACAATATTTTTTGGAGATTTTGCTATCCAGTTGATTAATTAATGATTGGAGCCATTGTCATTGTAATGTAGATTAACTTCATTATATCATCTTCATTTAGCATTTCTTTGCATTATTCCATTAATCAAAATTTTGCTACTCTTTTCCGTAGAAGCCATATTGTACTTTTTTTTTTTTTTTTTTTTTCCTGTGCTTTCTTGATATGAAGCATCACCAGTTTGATTAGCCTGTTTTGTGATCCAACTATATTTTTAATCTAATCGCATTGCTTACATATGATCAAAGGGAATACTATTTTATCAAAAAAGTGATATTCTATATGAAGAAGGTATTGCTTGAATAACCTCATGACATTAAAATGTGACTGGAACCCAAAATAGCAAGACTTTCTGAATTTAAAAAAACTGTACTATAGATTTCACTGTCTGTTGATTGATGACTAGAACATTATATTTGCAATTGAAGATTTCAATTACATTATCATCATTTAACATTTCTTTACATTATTTCATTATTCCGAAAATTTCAGTTTTTACTTATGATAGCTGAAAACATGGAAATTAGCTATCATCAAGAAGTATGGTAAAAGAAGTCTAAATTATGCCAAGAATTTTTTAAGAATATCTTCTGATATTCTGTTTCATGACCTTGCAGTACTCAACACAGCAAATTTTGTACAGTCAAAAGTCTTTAATCCGGACCTCAAAGCTGCAAACTTTCTTGTGCATTTACGCATGTGCATAATACGTTTACGCGCGCACGTTTAATGTATAACAGACGGTATAAGCTAAGCTAAAATTATCTAATTATCTATTTCAGTTAATGTTGCAGATTGCATTGTTCCTTAATCTTCTAATTGGATCCGGCTTATTTTTTGCAGACTGTTAGAGCAATTTTATAAAAGTAAGCTTGAACTTTTGATTATGTCAAAAAGAATTTTCGATTCTGGAGCTGCCAAAGGATCTACAAAGTGAAAGCATGTTTCGACGTCCATCAAACAAAAAGTGGAATTGCTGCCAAAAATAGATAAAGGCATATCCTTTGCTTCTCTAACCATTCCAAAATCTGTTTATCAATTTCACACTGCTCTGTGGGGGGGGGGACACTGCGGCGCGCAATGAACTGGAAGTTGATCTGTCGGCACTATCCTTATCTTCAGGTCAGATGCTTTTATTTTATTCGGCGTATGATTCCTTACTAAATGTAGTAATTCATCTCGATGTACTCTGTCTTTGATATGATTTAAATCAAATTCTTCATCATTATAAATATCACAAATACACATCAAATAATTTTCTGGTTGCAATTTTCTAATTTCGACTATGCGTAATGTATGCTTTACGCATGCGTGTTTTGAAAGAAATGTTTAATAAAGTAAACAAATAAATATTAAGCTTTTTTTTTTTTTTTTTGTAAATTTTGATACCTTTTTATTTCATAAATTATGGTTTCATACTTTTAATTTTATAATTTCTGCATGCCATCTTACCAGATTTAAACTGATGATCTATAATCCGGAATCGCCAAAGTCTCGACGAGTCCAGATTAAAAACTTTTGACTGTATTAAAATATTTTAAGACTTCTTGAATGGTTTCCAATATTTATTTGCTAATGAATATACAGTTTTACAAGAAAAGAGTAAAATGGGTACATTATCTTTCTCTATTTCTTTAATTTTTATAACAGTAATAATAGTAGACTTAACAAAATTATGAGTTGCATCAAACCTAAAAGTACAATTTGCAATGCTTGCTAATTTAAGTATATCTAATTCTTTTTCTTCCTCGGTATGACAACAAAAGACAGCCAGAAGGAACAGCATTCCACTCCAAACTAACATTGTCTTTAGACTTCACTTTATGTAGGGTTAGACAAGATTTTAAAAAATGCTGTTGTTCCACAACTACTAACTACATGTTGAACAACAGTGTTTTCTTGGAAATAGAAAGTGTGCTTCACTGGCTGCTAGAAATGGCCTGCAATATGATTCAGCATCATTACAGATAATGATGTTTCCCAGCAAAAGAAGTTTTACCTTGTAGAGAGAAAATTCAGTTTACAGTGCATTTACTTGAGTGTCATATTCTCCTTATCTACACTATGTGAAAATAAGAAAATTTCTCAATATATTTATGCATGTCATGGGAAATCTGGATAATTATGGCATCCAATTATTGAACTGCATTCATCTGCTACATTTTAGGTAAAGCATATTGACTGGATTCTTTTATTGTCAGTTTTGTTTAATGTCAAGTAATTATTTTTTATTCTACAGGTTTTACTAGTTCAGGGTTATGTTGCAAAAGCTAGTTGGGGCTTCCCTAAAGGTAAAGTTAATAAAGATGAACCACCACATCAGTGTGCTGTTCGGGAGGTAAGAATGCATATTTTTCAGTAGAATTCATTACTATTTCTTTGTCTTTTGTTCTTAAATAAGTTCTTTAAAAATGAAATTCAAAAGAATGCATATTTTTATTACTTATGAATTATGTTTTAATATATTTACTAATTGTTAATTCTTCAAATATTATTGAAAAATAATTAAGTTTCATAATCAAACTAGAATTATAGATAATATGCTGTGGATTTTAGTTACTTTGACACCTATCAATAAAGCTAGCCTCTTACTTAAATTGCATTGTAAATGACAAATTCAAATTGTAAAAATTAATTTAAATTTCTTTTTTTTATTGAGGGTATCACACTATTTGGATATAGCTTGTGTCATTGTTGAATGCTGTTCTAGGCTATCATTCTTCATATCCATTGTGATGTGTTAATTCAGTTTGGGATTAGTGGGTTACATTGATGGGCTTTATCTGCTTAAAATATACATCTACTTGTTCAATATAACCATTGTTCATCAATGGCAAGAAACAGAAGCCATACAATCTTGATAAAATCATCTCTTGTTTGATATCTGCTTGCTAACTGGGCTAGCTCAATGAGATTTCATTGGTTAATCCTCTGACTGGCAAGGCTGCATATATATGTTTTAGAATATTTTTTGTATCAACTTTAAGAGAGTATATATACACATGCATCTTGAAATATGTCAAAAAATTAAGGCAATATACTAAAAGTGCATAAATCCATGTATAAGCATTTTGCTATTAAAATAAGAAAATACCTTTTTTCTCATTGCAGTTTTAGAAAATTTGAGTTTAAGTGAAACCCTATGTCGACTGGAGGATTAGTATTATTCCTGACAATTTTTCTCATTTTTCTCATTGAAAACGTCTCTTCCTCTAGACCACAGGTGGCCAACCTGCGGCTCTTTGAATGATTATTTGTGGCTGTCAATAAATGTACCCGAGTTCCCTTTTCATGTTTGTGTTATTATATTTTAAAAAATTATTATCGTTTCGTATGCGTTTCAAAACATCTTTTAAATACTGACAACAAATATGAAAGACTAAGTGCAACGTTGTAATCAATATCACTTCTGTCCAAGTTAAAAATGATATGACTCATCGAGAACTGTGGGAACGAACATAAACAGTAGCATAACAGTTCTGTTCATCGGATTTTCTTCTCTTTCGACTTCCTCTCGAATTATGAGAAACATGGGAGTCAAGGCCTTGTCCGGCCGATTGCTTCTCGATGAATGACGATCTATGTAATCGACCGACTCCAGACCGATTTTGAATTTGTAAACTTTCATTGCCACAGACAGTTTACATTGTGCTCTGGAGGAAACAATTTGTATCACTTTTGCTATGGATATAATTTGTAATCTGGAATTTTTGGTAAGTTAACTATAATTTGTTTCGTAGTATGTAATACGAGTTGTTATTGTTTTAATAACACAAAGCTTGTATTTTCTAAATTTCTTTATTTATTTCCAGTTCTTTTAAAAATATGATGACAGAGAATGAAAATAAAAAAAAAATAAAAAAAAAAAAAAAAAAAAAAAGAAGAAGAAGAAGAAGAAAATACAAGCTAGAAAATAGAAGTTTTAATAATAAGTGGCAGGATAATTTCTTTTTTATTGACAATAACGGAAAAGCATTATGGGTTATTTATAATTCTACAGTCAAAAATTATTAAGCTAGCAATTTACATCGACATTATGAAACCAATTATTCTCAGTTTTCTAATCAGTATCCACAAAATTCCAAATTAAGATCAGATAAACTTGCTTCTGTAAAATCAAATTTAAATACACAGCAGTCAATTCTGATGACCTTTAGCAATCAAACTAATAATGTGGCTGAAGTCAGTTTTGTTATTGCCTGGAATACTGCTAGTGCAAAACGCTCGTATGGAGAGAGAGAGTTTATTAAAAAGAACTTGGAAGGTATACTTAAAATTTTAGATCCAAATGATGCAGCATTGCACAAAGTTGTTTCGCAAATTCACATCTCGAGACCCAACCGAACGACGCATAACTGCAATTAATACATTTCTTGAATATAATTTAAAAAATTATTTGAAGAACTGTATTGCATTCAGCTTAGCCCTTGACGAATCGACAGATATCACTGATCTTCTGCAATTGGCAGTTTTCATACGTTTTGTTTCACCTGACTTCGTTGTTAAAGAAGAATTGTTAGATTTAGTAGCACTTCAAGAGTCAACCTGCGGTGTCAATATTAAAAATGCATTAGATTCCATAATGAAAACTTTTGATGTGCCTCATAATAAACTTGTAAATATTGCAAGTAATAGAGCTCCAGCAATCCTGGGTAAAAAAATCGGTCTTGTTGGGCTTTTAAGAGATGATTCTCAAATTCCACAATTCATACCGATTCATTTCATAATTCACTGAGAACATCTCGTTACAAAATATTTAAAATATCCTGATGTTATGAAAACAGTGTTACACATTGTAAATTATATTTGCACCAGTGCAAAAAATCATCAAAAATTAAAAAATTTCCCTGAATTCAAATATTTTCCTGAATATTCATAAATTTCTCTGAAGAATTAAAGGATGAAGAACTTCCAAATTTTATTTTCCATTGTTAGATGGTAATCTAGCAGCAATGTATTAAATTGATTTATAGATTTGTTTGATCTGATAACTGCATTTCTAAAAGAAAAGGAAACAACTTATTCAGAATTAGACGATGACGAGTGGTTACAAGACTTAATGTTTTTGACTGATGTCATGGAACATTTGCAAACACTGAATTATAATTGCAGGGAAAAGATAAAATAATGTCTGGCCTCTCACAGTGTATATTTAGTTTTCAAACTAAATTACAGCTTTTTCAAAAGGACCTTAGATATAAAACATTTTGTCATTTTCATTGAACTAAAAAAAATTTTTCCAATATTATACAAGAAAAACTCAACGAGAATATAAAAAGGCTAGAAGGAATATTGTCAGAATTTCCAAATAAATTTCAAGACTTCAAATATTTTAAATTGTCTCTTGATTTTTTTCTGAATCCATTTGAAATTAACATAATTCAAGGTGTGTTTTCCATTTCCAATATAATTATGACCCAGAAAGCATCTGGAGAATTAGAATTAATAGAGAGAGATGCAAGAAGATCAAGCTCTACAATTAAAATATAAGTCGACGGCGATTACTGAATTTTGGAAATTTGTTCCAGAATCTAAGTATCCTGAATTAAAAAAGGCTGCTTGTCGAATTATTTCAATATTCAGAACAACGTACTTATGTGAATCATTTTATTCCACTTTAAAATTCATGAAATCCAAACACCGATCAGTGTTAACTAACGAGCATCTCAACTGAGAAGGGCTGTCACCAATTATTCACCAAATTTTAAAGAATTATCAAGAGAAGTAAAATAAATGTGTTTAATTTTTAACATTTAAATTCAATACACACATTTTGTACTTTTATTTATATATTTTCAATAAATATAATTTCTGTAAATAAAAATTTTTAATACCATTTTTGCATACCTTTTAAATACGTATTTAATTGTGGCTCGTGAAAAATTTCAAATTTTGAAAAATGGCTCAGATGGTCAAGGAGTTTGGCCACCCTGCTCTAGACTGATAGCCATTGATTACTGTGCCTAAAATTAATATCTATTATAATTTATTTTGATGCTTCTGAAGCGAGTCCCCCCCCCTAAATTTAGGATATTTCTATATGCAGTATTCTGTATTTTTTGGCCTACGTTTAGCATGTTTCTGTATGGATTATATGTAAGTGTAATTATTAAAAAAAATTCAACATTGTGTGAAAATTGTTTGAAACATGGCTTTAGATAACCATATTCATTTTAAGAATGCACATTATATAAATATGTTTTATCTGTGCTTATGAGGTTCAAATCTAGTATTTAATTCCAGTACATTTGCATTATAGCAGACACAGTCAAAAAATAAGTATGAAAAAATTTGTTAGCCCTCCCTCCCCCCAAAAAAAATCATTTATAGTACAAAATAAAATGTAATGAAATTATATTTACATTTATTTATTTTTGTGTACAGTTTCTTACCTTTCTTCTTTCCTGCAACTTTTAATGCTGCATTTCTAAAATACTTTATTGATACATAAGTGCATTCTGTGACCATTTTCACATATTCTGGTACAAGGTAAAATACTTTTTTCTTGAAAGAATATGACTGCATTTTTCTCCCATTTCCTGGTAAGTTTAAAATTATTAGTATTTGTTTCTGAAAGTTTTAAAATAATTATCAATCAACAATTAGTTGATTAATAATAATGCAAATAATTATCAATACAATAATGTGTTAAAGTAATTATCAACACAAGCATTAAAATAGTTATCAAAATATCATACCATACACTTTCAGTTTGTATGTGGTATTTAAAATATCTTTCTTAATAGAACAGATTGTCTGTGCAAAGTGTTAAGCAAAGTTTGTTTTTTAATCAGCATCGTTAAACAAAAAGTGGAATTGCTGCAAAAAATGGATAAAGGCATGAGGAAAGTGACAGAGAGGTGATTTGTTTCTCTAGCCATTCCGAAATCTGTTTATCAATTTCACGCTGCTCTGCGGGGGGGGGGGGGGGGCAGTGGGGATGATAAAGGCAAAGCATATTTTGCTTCCCTTAAATAAAGCTAAGACTAATCTAAATAAAATTCATGCTTTATTCCGTAAATAAAATAAAATAAGCTAACACTGTAACCTTTACAATTAAAATCATTTGATTGAAAGCAAACTAGCATTATGCTAACTCATAATAACACAAGAGAACAAGACATTCGCCGATACCGGCGTACATATATATAATACTTGGCCAATCTTGACGTCATCGGCCAATCAGCGGCAACCACGTGAGCTTACCGCCGATTGACCTCCGATCAAAATTTGCATAAGAAAAACTTAAAGCCAACAGGGGGGATATTGTGGCGCGCAATGAACTATAAGTTGATCTGTCAGCACTATCCTCATCTTCAGGGCAGATGTTTTTATTTTATTTGGCTTATAATTCCTCACTAAATGTAATATTTCGTCTCGATGTACTCCGATATAATTTAAATCAATTTCCTCGTCATTATAAATGTCACGAATACACATCAAATAGTTTTCTGGTTGCAATTTTCTAATTTTGACTATGCGTAATGTATGCTTTATGCATATGTGTGTTGAAAGAAATGTTAAATAAAGTAAACAAATAAATGTTAAGCTTTTTTTGTAAATTTTGATAACTTTTATATCATAATTGCTCTTTGTTTCGTAAATCACGGTTTCATATTTTTAATTTTATAATTTCTGCATTCCATCTCACAATTTAAACTGATGATCTATAATCCAGAATCGCCAAAGTCCCGATGAGTCCGAATTAAAGACTTTTGACTATTTGAATAATTAAGATACAATAACACAGCGAACAAATATTAATTTAGAAGTCAAACAACAAAAATCAGCATTATGTTTTCAAATTTTCACGGGACTAGTTTCGATGGTTTTACCGAACCATCATCCTCAGCTGCAAATGAATGAGATAAGATATAATGATTAGATAAGATAAGAAAGCCTGGACAGGAGATAAGTCATTGGTGCCATCTGTTGATGAAACCAGAATTAAAACAGAATTTCTTTAAAGACTGAAGGGTAAAGATGGATTGGAATTAGGATCGTTAACTAGAACAGAAAGTTTTTTTTTTTTTTTTTTTTTTTTTTTTTTTTTTTTTTTTTTTAATGTGCAAAGAAAATCTAGTTCACCAATGGAAGATGTTTTTTCTGAATAATTTTGGCAGTGGAAAAATTGAAAGTGTTATTTTCGGACCAACAATGTTGGGCAACAGAAGACTTCTGTGTTTCCTTTTTTCTAACATATGCCTCATGTTCCTTAACGTGAAATTTTAAGGTTGTCTTAGTTTGGCCAGTGTAAATTAAACCACACTGGCAAGGAATCCTGTAAATACCCCAGGAATTCATATTCAGGATGGGGTCCTTGAGTATGGAACTCGGAATAGTATTGATGGGAGAATAAACAACCCGAAAGTTAAATTTCTGAAAAATATGTGCAACTTTATAGCTAATTGATGGAAAGAAGGGAATGACAACAGAATTTTTATAATCTCCTAAAACAAGAGTGTGCCTTTTGGTGTGTTGAGATGAGAATTTTTTAACTGCTTGATTAATAATGTTGGGTGAAAAGCTCTGTCAATAGCTATCGCTTTTAAATAATTTAGTTCTTCATCAAGGGATAGTTTGGAGGAGTAAACTTGAAGAGCACGGAAAACATAGAAATAAAATGAAGCTAACTTTTGTTTAGTCAGATGACATGATTTGAAGTGTGGTGGAAGGCAACCGATGAAGGTTTACGGTAAACCATAGTACTGAAGTTGGATGTGTTACGTGTGACTAGAATGTTGAGAAAAGGAAGAGAATTGCAAGTCTCAAGCTCAAAAGTGAACTGAGTAGCAGGATCAATGGAATTCATTGTTGGAAGAACTTTATTTAAACCATCTTTATTACCTACAAACAGGGTAAAAGTATCATCTACGTAGCGGAACCATACTATTCTAAATTAATAATATTTGAATGTTTTGCTTCTGATACTAGATTGTTCTAGAATCAATGTTTTACTACATTATTCTTAACATGTTTATCTTCCCTTTATTTTCTATACTTTTCACTCAACATAATGATGGAAAATATCAAAAATGCTTCAAATCTTATCACGTGGACAAGCGTTATAGAAATCAATTTTTTTATTAATAAAGAAGTTGAAAACTGGCAATTTAAAAGATCCATCTAATACTCCTAAATGCATCAGATTAATGCTTTCAGTTTTGTTCTAATCAGCAGGTCTCTCTCTAGGCAAGCAGCAGCGGTGACAATATCCAGTCTTTTGTAATAAAATATGCTGATTATGATCTTATGCCACTTGACATAAACTCTACCTGCTATTTACTAAACCTCTCCACCAGCGGTTCTCAACCTTTTGATTAGCGTGCACTATCTAAACAAAAATTGAAAACCTTTATTAGTACCATCTCTACAAAGTACTACTACCACCACCACTCTTGAAAAAAAGCTCAGATCGCATAAATTTATGAGTGTTAGAGAAAAAGACCAGGATGTTGGGGTTTTAATTTTTGAATTTAATAGTTAAGAATACTTTGCTCCATTGCGTACCACATATTTGTCTCTTGCATACCATTAGTGGCACGCGTACCACTGGTTGAGAACCCCTGCTCAAGACTGAGCGAGTATGTAACAAAACGGTTAGGTTATTTAATTATGGCAAAGCCTCGAGGGCTATCTGCCTAAGAGGAGGGATGCCTTCGTGGAGGGCTTTCTAAGGGAAACTGGCTCGTATACACGTTACGCATGGAGAAAACCATGAAAACACCCATGCAGCCAGCCTGTTCGCGGGATTCAAACCTTGGACCGAGCTACCAGTGTTCAGCAACTTTACCGCTCGGCCGCTGGTGGCCTATGTGACAAAAAATATATATATATAAAAATCAACATAAAACTAACTGTTAGGAAAACATAAATAATTATCTTCTTTCAAATCTGTCCAACTATTATAAGTGTAAAATATTTAATGCTACTTGATACATTTTATAAAGTTGATTTTGTTCTCAAACTTATTTATAATTTTGTTAATTTAGTTCATCCTACGTACGAATCTATTTTATTTTTAGGATAGTATTACAAAAGTGAAGTTCAGGCATAGATAATATTTTTAATTGAATTTATTCAGTTCCCATTTGCTCACAGGTCCTTAATTTTTTCATTAATGGTTCTTAAAAGTACTTAATTTTTGTATGCAGAAATGTGTATGAACCCTGTAAGAGTTTTTTTCCTATGTAATTGTTTCAGAGTATTGAAATGTCTATCAGTTTTCTTTTGAAAATTTATTAAAAAATCTTCTGACTTTTTACACTTACAGAGTTGGTAGGAATAATTTTTCTTTCCGTTTTCAGACTCTGCGTCTGGGAAGGTCTAAAGGCAAGATTTATAGATTATTATTTTGAAAACAAGAATTATAGACCTAGAATTGCCAGAAAAATGTGACAAAATGAAAAGTATCTTCATGGTATTAATGCATAATGGATGTGTTTTCTAAAAATAGTTGCATATAGTTCTTGTGTAAATTATTTCTCTTTGGGAGAGGAAAAAAAAGTCAGAAAGTGGAAATATAAAAATTCTCTAATTTCAGTAAGTTTGAACAAAAAAGGGAAATGTATTTTTTTTTTAATTTTCTGGGGGGGGGATGAGTAATCTGGGAAGTTTGCAAAGTAGATTCTTACATAGTTAAGCAACTTATTTAAAATATATTCATGTATTTTCTTTTCTTTCTCTCTCGTTTTTAAATTATATAAATTAGTCCAGAGTATTATAAATGTTTTCAAGACTTTATTAAATATGATTACTTTAGAAATGATGCTGAAATCAATTTTCAAAACAGCTTAAAGATGTTTCTGTGTGAAATTCTTAACAAATTTCAGGCCCACCAGCGGCCGAGCGGTCGCTAAACACTGGTAGTTCGGTCCGAGGTTCGAATCCCGCGAACGGGCTGGCTGCATGGGCGTTTTCGTGGTTTTCCCCATGTGTAACGTGTATACGAGCCAGTTTCCCTTAGAAAGTCCTCCACGAAAGGCATCCCTCCCTTTAGGCAGATAGCCCTCGAGGCTTTGCCATAATCACACACAAACAAACAAACTTAACAAATTTCATGCTAGTCATGTGATGTTGTAGGGTTTAATGTTATTTAACCGTTGTTATCTTATTATTTTGGTTTTACGTTCACTTCTGCTTTTGTCAACTCCCACCTGAATGCAAATTAATTAAAGTATATTTCATAAAGAAGGCTTTGACCAGCTTTCATGCTGGCCGAATTATTTAAGTAATTGGCTTCAGCTAGCTGCTTTTGCTTCGTGAAGGCTTAGGACTGAGTTAAGGTTAAATATGATAAGTTATTTTTATATTTCATATTCAAACTACAATTTGAATGTGTATTCTGATTATCTATAAGTAGCAGAGTTCTTTTCTGTTAATCTTTAGAGTATGTGTAACAAACAGGTTGACGTGTTAATATTTATACTGAAATTGTATTGAATAGTAATTTTCAGGATTATTAAAATGCTATCGCAGTCACCCCTGATATATATCTTTGAGATTGCTAGTCTTATCCAATGTTAGATTCCATGCAAGTATTTGCATTTGCAACCACGAGGCATCCTCTTACCCAAAACATACTGTAGTATATCTTTATCTATTGCCATATGGTTAAAAAAATGTTAAATACCTCCTTTTTTCAGTAAGTGAGTGTATTTTATTTCATTTGTTATTTTTTGCAGATTTATTTTGCAAATTTTTAACGTGTTAAAAAGTTTTAAATTTAATACTTTATTTATCGCTTTTAAGTATTTTTTCCTTGAAATTGCTAATATTTATAACATGAAAAATATAGGTAGGAAGCATATTTTATTCCCAGAGCCTTCCTGCACTGTTAAATGATTCATTTCTTGCAAACATTTTAGAAAGACTTATTTTATTTTGCACTAATGAATGACTGTTTTATTTTACTAATAATAATGATGATGATGAGATAATTTTTATACATTTAATTTAAACAAAACATTATATTAAACAGAAGTTTGTGAGAATAAAAAACATTGCCAATAAAAGAAGAAAATCAACATTTAGAGGAATTTTTATTTAAGTATATAAGTCTAAAGCTTGTGATCAAGTAAAAAGCTCAAGTAGCTTTATCTGATAATTTGTTAAACATTTCTGGTATTTTTCTGAAGTTATGCATATAGATTTCTTCTTTAATGTGTTTGTCTTTTAAAATTTCTGTAGAATTAGAGGAAGTATTTTATGTTTTTCAGGTTATGGAAGAAACTGGATTTGATATAAGCCATTTAATTGATAAAGATGCATATTTAGAGCATCATTTCAATGACCAATTAATAAGGCTTTATATCATAGCAGGCGTACCATCAAATGCCAGATTTCAGCCAAAAACAAGGAAAGAAATAAAGGTTTGAATTTCATTTGAATAATTCTCTTCATCAATTTTAAATCGTCTTAAGAGTTTTGATGTCTAAATTCTTAAATTTAAGGTTTGAAAGCTGACTTTTCACAATTTTAAATAAAAGAAAGGATTAAATTAATGTCAACAGAAAAAACTTTTTTCATTCTGATTACAGAAATTCTTCCAACAGGGTTCGTAGCGGTCCTTATAAGTGCTTATAAGTCCTTATATTTGAAAATAAAATATAAAGGCCCTTATAGGTGCTTACTTTTTCTTTAAAGCCTTTATTTTTTTGTTTTTAGTGCTTACTTTTTGCTTTTAGTGCTTTTTTTTTAAATGAACGTGCAGTTTTTCCCCGTACCAAAGCCGAAACTAAATAAACAACTTTTCTTCCTAATATGGAATGTCAGATGGTGAATCATACTCCCGGAAATAGCTTTTTCCCCTTTCTCTGCATTAACATAACCTTTGGTGTGCGGAGAGTACAGACAGGTGCCCGTCGTTCTGTTGGTCAAAGAATTGCGAAAGCAGTAGAAAATTCCAATACATTCGGTATTCTTTTCCTCCCACCCAAATATTACACACATTTGAATTTCTATCAAGATCTTAATAATTTGCATTCTCGTTCCGCTTGGTCAGTTCATATTCGTGTTTATTATGATCGTTTTGCTTATATTATGAGCATATGTATGAATGTTTATAATAACATAGTTGCAGTAACTGCTGAAGTATAGTAAACTTCCAAAAATGGTTGTGTTTTAACTCAGATTAGCTTTCTAATTAATAATATTCGGAACGGCTTAAATAAAGGGAAAGTAATCGAATAGTCAAAATAATTTCATTTTTTTGGCCAACACGTTATACAGTACGAAGGTTGGGAGGTTCTCCCCTTTCTTCGCAAAATCTCAAAAATTGAAACTGTTACAGTTCGCTGCAAAACAAACAACGGGCCTTTTTTTTTTTTTTTTTTTTTTGTCACTTTCCAATAGGATAGAACTAAAAGTTCTGCGGTCTACCAACCCAAACGAAGAATGATTCTATTCCGGAAATTTAACGCAGTCTGTTGGTACACCCCAGAAAACACCCCAGATCGGTAAGTCTTTCTTTTCCTTTATTTAGTTCTTTATTCTCCCAATACCGACAGCTGTTGAATTCCGATTGCATAATATCATGTAGGGAAGAATTACGGCGCACGTATTGCGCAATAACGTTTGCGATATTGTGCAGAGATAAATAATTTTGATGTTCGGTCCGAAATTTGTTTATGAACACTTAAAAGAGTTTTACTGTGCTTGCTAAGCAGAATATTTTTCTGTTCCGTTGGTTTGTTTTTATTTGATGCACATATCGAAATGTAAAAAGCATTTATTTAGCGGAAAACTCCAAAGAACGGCTACAGTCTATCCCCCCTCGCTCCTCTTTTTCAAATTACGCTCGACTGTCCGAATATTCGCCAATTTTCAAGTATGCGGGTAGTTAAGCTTTTACTGTTAAAGGATGACTGCATGAAGCAAATTTCTGTCTTCTGATTTCAGAAATGTTCCTCTTTTTTACTTAAATTACTTTGCTTGCAATATCTGTTAAGGGAAAACTGATATACGATGAAAATTTAGAAAATGTTCAGAATTTCGATTTAATTTAGTTAAATATTAATATGAGTGGAAAAATAAATTGTATTTATTATTAAGTTCCAAGCGAATAGAATAAATATGCCTTATTATTATTTATTTCCTCTATTTTGAACTGAAATTTCATCATTAAATCTTGTAGTATAGTTTAGTTCTGCATAGTTTTTTTTTTCTCTCATTGTAAACTAGTTCTGTAAATTGAACTGTTATTTAAAATTAAAAAAAAAGAGTAATTATTTTCCATGGTTGAGGTAATGCTTATTCTCTCTTAATAAATACTGCATTTCTCATATTTTAAATTACGAGTCTAATTTTTAAAGTTATGCAGTTGTGTATAATGTAATTAGACAGGTGCTTATTTTTTTTCTTAAAATGTGCTTGAAAAGTGCTTATAGGTGCTTATTTTTTTAACTGATGTGGCTATGAACCCTGTTCCAATAATTCCTTTTGACCTAGCTATTGTGTTTCCTGTATTTAAATAAGAAGGCGTTTAGTTGCAACTTGGTAAACAATTCTTGGGCAAAACACAGCAAAAGTGTGCATATATATTTTTCACACTATGAGCTTTTGATTTCAGTAACAAAAACAAATGGATCCTGTAGAAGAAATGGCATTATCTCAAGAAGATGTAATAAATTAGAAAAGAAATTACAGTTCACAGTCTTTTTTATTTTAATTTATAGTTAAATATATTGCTTTTTTACATTTATCTAGATTTTTTTAACCATATCTTCCAGTGTGAAACAAGCAAGTCTCCTCCAATTTATGAAATGCAAATTCTTATTCTGTTCTTTAAAGGTATTAAACATTTCTAATGTCCTTTGTAAACTGCATTTTATTCAATAGCTTCCTCAAACAAAGTCAAATGGAGTGAGATCAGGCAAATGATCTTGCTATGTTGTGAACAGTATTTAATATGTATTCAGTTTTTAGTGAAATGTTGTCATAGGGCATATTGCACCATCAATTGTATGTTTAGCTTTGCTTTATCTTGGAATTGTGTAATAATAAGTATTTTATTTCTTTTAGAGTATTGAATGGTTTCCCGTCAGTCATTTACCAACGGGAAGGAAAGATCAAGCATCTAAAACAAATTTGGGGCCAAATAATTTCTTCATGGTGATACCTTTCGTGAAGTAAGTTTAGTTTTATATAGTGAAGTAAGTTTCGTGAATGAAGTGTAGTGTTGAGGTCTTCACTTTATCATTACATAGCACAGTATTTCCCTAATCTTCTTTCATCATGATGCACGTGCATAGAATTGGGATTTATTGTAACCTGCACAAGTTTAATTTCTCTGGAAGGAGGAAAAAGTAAGAATAGAGATATTAGAAAATGATGTAGCAATGAAGTAGTTGTAAGTTTATCGAGGAAGTGTGCAACTTCATCCTTGAAATCGACATATGATTATTTGCATGCAATATGAATATGAGCTTCTTTTCCTTACAAAGTCTTCATGAAAGCTCACTGGTTTTAGGCAAATAAGTTCCTTTCTGTGCTTCGTCTAATTCTAAAAGTAAAACCAGTCCTGATTTGATATTCTGAGTTCTCTGAAATGGGCTGTTGTCAGTTTGAAATGTATTGTCTCCTGTAAGAAACAGCATACGCTCCTGTACGAATAATAACATAGTTTTTCCTTGTCGACTTTTCTTCCAATGTGATATTGAAACTCCTGAAAACCATACTGTATTGTCCAGACCATGATAGAACTTCATTATATTTTATTGTAAGAAGGCAATCTCGATTGCTAGCTTATGCTTGTGTTTCCAACATGAAACATTCTGGAAAGGGAGAATATTATGAAGTCATATCCCAAAATTATTGTGCATTTTTTAGTTGTTTAACTTTCTGCATTTTATATTCTTCACATCATCATAGTCTGCTGCTTGCATTCATATGTAACTCAAATGTTTCTCGGTAATTCTGTGATAAATATTTAACTTAAGTGCCCTTTGTATTGTTGCATTCAAACTGGCTTCCAAAGATGCAGAAAACAGTGAGACCCTGGCCATGTGTATCTTACACGAACCATTTCAAGCTACTTTTGACTCTCCATTACTCAAAGACTATTAGACCTACAAACTTAAAGAGTTCCCTTGAACATCTAGAATCCCAAATTTCATTAATCTACCTCTTGTAGTTATGGAATTATTGAGGTCTGAAAAGTGTCATTTCAAAAACCTAGACCACTTTTAAATGACTTAGATACTTGAAATTTGTCATTAAGGTAGATCATTAGGCATATACAAAGAAAAAAATTTTAAAACTTAAAAAAACTACATTATTTTCGAGGTTAAAGCAAATAGTACTCATAATGAGCATTTGACAATGTCATCAATAGATGGTGCTGCACTGATCGCCAGTTTCCACGCAACTGAGATGCTAATCAACTTAGCTGAAAATAAAGAATAAAAATCTGTTTAAAACCTGTAACGAATCATTATTTATTTGACTTAAGTAAGTCAAGCATGTGCAGGAAATAGTCATAATATAATAAATAACTAAACTGATGTAATTTGAGCTTACCTTCGTCAACTTGCAAAAGAAGCAAGAAAACATTTTATGGAATATATCTTTAGTCGCCACTCTCATGAAACATCACCAGTAGTGTATAGCAAACAGTAGCTAAGCTTTATGATGATGATCACAAATTTGAAGGTCTTCATATATTGTAAACAAAAAGTAAAATTTCCTAATTATTGGAATTTGTGGAGAAGTGGTCAGAAATGAAGATTATAAAACAGAAGTTTTTCATTGTGATGACAATGCCATGAGCATCAATCTAGTAATGGACAGTGAAATAGTGTGGTTCTAAATCCAGAACATATTGCTACCGATAGTGAAGAAAATGACAGAGAGGTTAATGAGAAATTTTAAAAAATTCAATTGACAATTTAGTGGGAATTCTGGACATATCTGTTGCAAGACTTTGAGCAGTGGAACTTCATGAGAAGTTATATATATCTATAGAATTAAAGAAAAAGTATTAGCACAAGTAAAAAGAAGCAACTTAAGTAACTTATCTATCTATAGAATTAAAGAAAAAGTATTAGCACACACACAAAAAAAAGCAACTTAAGTAACTTACTTTGAAAGAAATTTTTAATAAAGCAAAAAAATATTGAGCCTTTTGTGTTGTGGGGGGAGGTAAATTTTGATTCCCTTTAAGGTCATAAATCACTATTTCATATTTTTAATTTCATAAATTCTGGTTGTCATCTTACTCGGTTTAAATTGATAATTCCAGATCCACAATTACCAAAATTCCGACAAGTCTGGATCTCAGACATTGTACCATACTTCTAAGCATTTTATTTAACATTTGTAAGAAGTTATATGCCAGCTCATATAGCTTAAAAATGCTTCTAAGTTTTTGAATTCTTGATTAATGATATTAAGAAACACTCTGTGTGATCAATTTTTAATTTTAGTATTGAAAGAACTGTAATAAATTTTTCTTCTTGTTAATTTCATCTCACTTTTAAATAATTTAAAACAATCCTAAAATCATGTTATGGAGACTAATATAATTAATATTTATAAAAAAAATCTTCCCTTTCATAAAAGTATTCTGAATGAGATAAGAAAGTTAAATTTTTAAATGTTTATAATTTAAAAGTAATATTTTTTATATATTTTTTATATAATACAATTTTGTAAGAAAACTGCATTTTATATTAAAAAAATATTTTATAATTTATATTGCTTTAAATTTCAAAATGACATTAATTTGTTTGATAAACAGAATGTTATGATAAAGCATCAATGAACACTATTTAAAAGCAAAATGGGTTTTGTTTGTTATTGTGTGTTCTGAAATTTTGCTTGAAAATAGTTTAAGGATTGTTTTCTTTAAGAATTAATTGCATAAAAGTGATATTTTTTTATAATGCTACACATTGTCTTATAATTGCACTATTTCTTTAGTTATATTATTTATAATTAGTGCTTGTGGATTGTAAGCTTGTGACTTTTATTCAAATTTTTAGCAGTTATGAAAAATCTGAAAAGTGATTTATTCGTATGTGAAGTGCAACTGCAAAGCATTTCTCCCCCCTGGGAAAAATAAATGCTAGCAATCGTATTAAGTTTCTTTCCTTGCTGTATTCTGCTGTGACCATATGTGAAATATTAAACTAAGAATTTTTTAATGTAATGGTAATTCTGATGTCAGCAGCATTTCCTCTGATATATATATATATATATTTTAATTAGGAAGGAAAACAAAAAATTACGTACAAAAATTTCTAAAAGATTATTAATTTTGTCATAAATTACTTTACAAATTTCTTGATAGTTAATATGATAATACTCCGTAATAATACTCAAAACATAAAGAAAACATTTCCTTTCATCAAAACAGTATTTAAAGACAAGAATTTGATATCCGGCATATTAAATAAATGATGATACTGCAGTTTAGATTTTTTCCCCCTTTTGTTTGAAATGTCTTTGGAAAAGACAGTTCATTAGCATTTATAAAAAACTCTTTTGTATAGCAGTTCTTTTCTTAGTGAATATAATCCATTGCAAAATTATAGTTTATTACAGGACTTATACATTATATAGGGCATAGTTCTCACTAATAACTTGGGAATAACTTTAATCAGTTCTGAGGCTGCTTCAAAACTATAAAACGTCATGGAAATTTTAGAAAATATTGAAAACATTTCCTGTGATGGGAATGTTAGAAATTTACTGATATATTAACTATTATAACCAAAACTAACATAAACAAAGACTCACTTGGCATTTTTAAACAGTTTTAATTAACAAAACACAATTAAGATAAAACATTACAATTGAGGGTGTTATAATTACACATTTAAGTTGCAGAGTAAATCTCAGGGAACAACATCTCAGGAAAACAGCATGCTTAGTTTATGACTCCCGTACATCAACTGAAGGCTAGAGTTTTTTTTTTGGGGGGGGGGCTGGTGTTTATTCCAGCAGCCACTAGGTGGCGCTCAGAGCCATGGAGGTAGGAAGTAAGATGGAGTGGCTCTAAACATGTTTCTCCGGTACCCTGCTCTGAAGCACTGGCGACCAAAACATTGGGTCATTTACCATTAAGTTCAATGGGTTTTTTACTGATCAGATGTAAATATTTTGTAATTACATCGTAAACACTTCAGAGTCCTAAGTACATGAAAACAACATATTTTTAAACATCATTTCATTCTGATCAGATGTAAATATTTTGTAATTACATCGTAAACACTTCAGAGTCCTAAGTACATGAAAACAACATATTTTTAAACATCATTTCATTCTGAACGGAATTAAATGCTCTACATTTCACAGAACAGTTTTCTCAGAATGGTCTAATTTGAATGAAATATTTTCGCAAGTTTTCGTTAATTCCATTAAAAAAAATTTAAGGTAATTTGATTTGATTTGGTTAAGGTACAAAAATTAAGATCAAAGTTTATTGTATTATGAATATTAAAATTAAGCATTATTTCTTTTCTATTTATAGAACTTCTTCCTAAAATACTTTCTTAACACATTCGCTGCCACCAAAATTTATATATCCATCCTCAGAAGCTGAATTTAAAAAAAGTGTTTTAATGATTAAAAAACGTTCCTAATATTTTAATAGTAAAGCCAGAAAAAAAGAAAAACCTTTTATTTTCGTGTTTAGTGTAAAAAAATTTCGGACACTCTAGAGCGTCAGTGGCACCTCACGTTCAACTTATTATCTGTATGCCACTGACGCTCTGGCGCATCTCATCATTTTTCTGTGAAATTATTGACACATTATATAAAGTCACAGTTTAAAAGAAATAAAACGTTTAATTGGATAAAGAGAAGTGGAATTTATGAAAAATTATAAAATGTAACAGTAAAACATAAATATGTATAAATGTAAATGTAAGATTATAAAATGTAACAAATATTGTATAATATACATAAACAACATAATAGAAAATGAAAAAAAAATTAAACTTATTACAAACAAAATGTCAGTGTAGAACAGTACTGCATAAATATATTATCACTTATGGTATATTTCACAGCAATTCAAGCAATATCCTGGCTTGTTGGGACAGTCACGGCACTCGTACGTAGTGTCCGTGCGTTTGCCTTGAGAGGAACAAGATGTACACCTTTTTCTTTGTATTTTGGTTTTACC